CAGGAGGACGGACCTGCTGCACGGCTCCTCGTGTAGCACTGTTGGGCCGGAGACCCCTTGCAGATCTCCAGGACTCACATTTGTGCCCAGCTCCCGTTTTTCTCTTTGGTTCTCACCAGATCATTAAAGCTACTCCTAGGGCAATGGATATTTAAACATCACGTCCATGTCAGTGGAATTATATTGTAAATCAGTGAAGGAGAAATGAAGGTTGGGAAGATACTGGTGCAAAGGCGATAGGAAAGGGTGAAATCCCACACACAGGGCACCAGCGAGGCTGGAAGGACTCCTGCTCTACTGGGGCAGCCAGTTCGGTAGTGTTTAAGGAGTCTGGGCCACAGAGGGGCAGAGGAGGGCACATGATATATTTTGAAGTAGAACTAAGCAAGTAATGTAACAGGTTTTTTCTTTTTGCAGATTGCTTGCTTCTATACTGTTTTAAATTATAGAAATTTCTAATGACAATTTATGCAGTCAAAGTATAGCAAAAAAAAAATCCAATTGAAAATCATAGCAAAGGAATAGTTTGAAGAGGAAGTAACCTGAGTTCACCTTGATATTATTTTTCCAGGCTGTGTTAGGTGTTAAGGTATAAATGTGTTTCACATTAAAGGGGGATACAGTGGTGTGGAGGCTGGTTCTGACCCACTTCCAGGCTTTCTTTCTTTTCCTTTCTCCCCTTAGCATTCCTTTAAAACCTCCATTTTCTCTCTCTCCCTCTGTGTCTTTGTTTGTTTGTTTGTTTGTTCATTGCTGTAGTCAGGGTTTGCAAGAGAATAGATTTAATACAGGACCCATAAATTATAGGATTATAAATATTTATAATATTCACCCAAAGAGTCAAATACAGAAAACTGCAAGAGATCTGTCCACACACTAGAGACCCAAAGAATGCAGCTGAGGGCCTGGATCCCAAGGCAATATCCTACTTGAGTCTCTACCAAAGATCTGCACTAGGAAGGCCCAAAGGCCAGTGGTAGAAGCTAGAAAATCTCCGTGGGTGGGGTTAAAGGATCTGTGCCAGAGCTGAGGGATCTGCACTGGAGCCAGGAAGCAATGCTCAAGGCAAAGGCCATAGCTCCCCCAAAGAGAACCACAAGGGACAGAGCTCCCCCAAAGAGAACCCAGGCGACAATGAGACCCTGAGCCGCTCCGGCACCAGGAAAACCAGCCACAGCAAGCTTTTCCAGGAAAACTAACAGCATGCAATTTTCCCCTCCAATTTTCCTTCTATGCAGTTGGCAATAATCTGCAGGTGGGTCTTGCACACCCAGAACCGTGCTGATCCAGTTCAGCTGGGTGTCCCCGCTCAATTGACCGTTGGTTAATCCACCACACTCGCTGCCTCACACTTTGTTTTCTGCATTTCCTAGGTCCCTTGACTGCAGTGGCCTCTCCCACCGCCAGATCAGCGCATTAGCTACCCTTACCCAGACCTCATTTCCTCAGTCACATCCCTTCTTGCCTCTTGTTTCTACTTCCTACACTGAAATCCCTGTCTCTATTAGAAGGCTTTTCCTCAGAGCGATCTCATTTGTCTGTTACTTCCTCAGAATCCCTGCAGAACCTGAAGTTGCTGCCAAATTTCCCAGGACTCCTTGCAGTGATTTATCCAGGGAAGTTTTGCTTAGTGTTCACAGGAGGTGAGTCACTCAAGAGCTCCATGCTTGGAGCAAGCTCCTGTTTGTCCAAGGAGGCTGGCAGTGCGCAGAATGCTACATGAAGCTGAAATCTGCAAATTCCAACTAAGAGTTTCATTACTTCCTCTCCTCACTCTTCTTGTTCTGGGTGCAGAAGCCTAGCTCCTTGTCCTGTCTGCTCCAGCTGATGGCTGACCTTACCAAGAATCTGGGCATGGGGTCTCTGATGCTTCACTGGCTGCAGCCTGTCAGTCAGGAGATGGCATGGCCTTAGGGCGTGGAGTTTGTGGTGGCTCCCACATTCATTTTGCTTTTGTTTGTCACCCTTTGTTGCCCCAAGATCTTTTGCTTCTCTGCCTTTGATCAGCTATTTTATTTTTTCCCAATTAAATGTGGATTCTCACTTTCATGTTAGGGATTGGATGGGCGAGAGAAAGCACAGAGCATGTCGGAACTTCTGGAAGAGTAAGGTAGTTTGAATATGCCTTTTCCCTATTTTAAGATGGTTATACATTTAAAAAATAAACAGGTGAAAGCTCACTATTCTTTTCTAAAGTTATGTTCCCGTTACTTCATATTGATGAACTAATTTTGACAGTGGACTTTGCTCAAAACAAGTTTTTTTCTGTTTAATGTAAAGTTGCTTACTGGTTTCACGTACATTACAAAATGAATGGCTAAATCCTTACCATGTGTTATAGTTTGTGTCTGGGTGTCCCCCCAAAGCCTCAAGTGGCAATGGGGCAGGCTTTTAGAGTTTGACTGATTATGGGTGTGAGAGCCACACCCGCCCTGGGGTGGATAGTTGCGTATGTAAGGGAGAGAAGAGGCTACTTGTCGCTATTCCTCCCTTTTGTGCTTGTTGCTTTTGCTGTGTTCTGCCGCCATGAGCTGTAGCCCTCTGCCATGTGCCACTCTGCCTTGTAACCTCCCAAGTACGGACTGAAACCTTCACAAACTGTAAGCAAAATAAACCTTTCATTCCTTAATTTTGGGCATCAGGTATTTTGTCCCAGCAATGAGAGGAAAGTAACCAAAACATCATGCAAATGAAAGGAGCCCCAATACATATTCAATGTGACCTTAATATAGTTTTTCAGCTTTTTTTTTTTTTTTTTTTTGGTACTGGGAATCAAACTCAGGACTTTGTGCTTGCCAGGCAGGTGCTTGTGCCATTGAGCTGTATCCCCGGCCCTCCCTGCCTTTTTTCACTTTTAGCATTTTCTTATGTGGTAACTTATTTAACATATTTTAAAGCAAATGACCTTCACTTACTCTGTCCTCATACACCTTCTTATTATGACACCTGATATTTTTTATTCTTTGAATAAAGACCTCAAATTTACTTAAATGTGGAGAGAATATCTTGATAATCTTTCTTTATCCATCCATATAGTTTTTCTTGGTGTACTTTAAAACAAATTCTGTATTTCATATCATTTCATTATAAGGTGCTTCAATGTTAAAGACAAATGTGTTTTACAAATTTAAACATAACCACATTGCTATTAAAACAGTATTTTAAATAGTGCTTAATATCATCTAATATTCATTCCACATTCAAATTTCCTCAAGTGTCTCAAAAATAGCATTTTATAATTTGTTTCTTCAATCAGGATATGAAGAAATTCCACAATTAATATTTTGCTAATAGGGCTAGTGTTATAGCTCAGTGGCACAGTGCCTGCCTGGCAAGTGCAAGGTCTTGAGTTCAATTCCTGGCACACACACAAAAAGGATTTGGCTAAGATGTTTCTTACATCTCTTTTGATCTATTTCTACTGACTGCCTTTCTCATTGTAATATCCTTTTGTTATCAAATAAACCTGCCTAATGGGCCTTTAAAGCAGTGATCCTCAGTCTCTTTGGTACCAGGCACTGGTTTTGTGGAAGATGACTTTTCCATGGAGCAGGGAGTGAGGGGAAGGTGGTTTTGGGGTGATTCAAGCACATTATATCTATCAAGCACTTTGTTTTTATTATTACATTGTAATATATCATGGAATAACTACACACCTCATCACAATGCAGAATGAAGTAAATAAAATAAGGGGCAGGCTATGCACAGACAAGACTGTTGGATTCTGATTTAAACCTTGCCACTAGATGCAGCTGTAAAATTAAAATGCATCAACTCAAGTCACTTGCCACCATAAAGCCTGCCACCAGGTGCAGCTTACACGTCACTTGCCACGGTAGGGTTTATTATGGTCTCTGCGCAGTCAAAGCTTTTTGCTAATCTTAGTCAGTGTTCACAGCTTCTTCCAGCACTGGCATCGCGGGCTTCGGCTCCCCCTCAGCTCATCAGGAGTTAGCTTCTCATAAGCAGAAAACAGCTTAGGTCTCTCTTATTCACGGTTCCTTATAGGTTTCTCACTTCTATGAGAACCTAAGGCCACTGCTGATCTGACAGGAGGCGGACCTCAGGCGGTGATGGGAGTGGCTGAGAATAGAGACGCAGCCTCCCTGACTTGCTTGCTACTGTCCTCCTGTGCGTTCTGGTTCCAAACAGGCCACGGACCAGTTGTAGGCTAGCAGTTAGGGACCCCTGCTTTAAAAATTCCCTTCTGCTGCATTTAGCTGCTTACTCTTTATTACACTACAGTATTGATGTGTGCTTCTAGTCTTGTATTTTCCTATACACTGGGAGTTAGACTTATTCATAGGCTTGATTTAAATTCCAGTGAAATTTTTTTCTTTTTTTTAGAGAAGATATTATATAGACATTGTGTACTTAATACATCCTTCAGGGAAGGATCCCTTCTGTCCTACTTTTGGAGATATTAAGATGGCCAGTTGATTCAGGAGATATCAACCTGATTACCCTCTTATATTTTTCCCTATAGTCCTTTCATTGAGCAGCCTTTGGTGTTTTGCTAGGGCCCTTTGTTTCTTTAGGGCTTCCAAAATGGGGGTGGTGCTGACTGCTTTTTCATTCTCTCTGCACTTATTAACTGTAATTCTTCTGTAAATAACTTTCTCTTTCCCATCAGCTTGCCACCCATACAGTTTGACAGGGAAAAGAGGACCAATGTTTTATTTTTTTCCCCTTGATTTATTTTCAGAAATGATGAGTTGGTACCACAAACCTCCAAAGATGATCAATGCATTTTTATTAAAGTTTTATGGTGAGTTTATGGACTGCTACATGTTTGATGTATTTTAATTTATTATAGTCAGAATTATTTTTAAGTCTACTATCATTATACTCCAGAACATAAAATATACAGCTTACTCAAATTTTCTCCTCTTGGGGGATTACACAGGCAACCAAGCAGGGGTTTTTCAGTTAACTTGTGTGTTAGTATCACTGGCTAGCGTGGATCCTTGCTTCAGTGGAATAAACATTAAAAGGACAGCTTTGTAGGAAAAGAGCTTTAATTAAAAGTAATAGAACATAGGGTGAGTGCAGCTCTGACAAAGATCAAGCTGGTCCCCTAACCAGGAAAGTAAAATGATATAGGGAAAGGACTTCAGCTTGAGTAACTGAAGGAAGCAGCTCTTGGGAGGACGTTCAGACTCTTGGGAGGATGATCAGATGGGGCCACGCACAAGGGCAGGAGAACAGTTTTTAAGGATTAGCGAAGGTGGGCCAGGGCCCAGTTGATTATTATCCCAGCCCTGGTTTCATAGTTCAGCTTGAGTCCTGTGACTTGAGGGACGGTTGTGTTTCCATGAGAGGAATCCTCATAGCTTGCAGGTCAGTCTCAGTCATGTGAGAATGCTGGAATCCACGCTGACTATACATTTAGAGCAGTAAACACTTCTTGATGTTGGTGTTTTCAGCCCTGAAAGGCAAGGAAATAGGCTGGTAAATATAGGGCTAATCAACCTCGTTTTGCCAACTTGTAGAGATGCTCCTTAAGTGATTAACATGGTTACATGCAGAGGTGAGAAGAATTTGACCCAAAATTCAAAAACTGACAGTCAAGCGTTGTTCTGCTTTTGGTCACCTATGGGACATTTGTAAGCCCAAGGGAAGAGTCATAATTTTTAGTGAAAACTACTTTTAAGTCCTTGTCTATCTTAGCAGAAAACACAAATCATGATTTTAATGAGTAATAGGTTAAGGGCCCTGGAGTTTGCGCTTTGTTTCTAGAGTGGCTTTCTGATTAGGCCTTGGGTAGGAAGGAGGGATGCTTCAGTTCATCACAATGGCCCTGGCATGGAAAAAGACTACAGCTAAAGTTCTTGTAAAAGGCAATAGATATATGCTTGCTCATTGTAAAATTCTTTCTTTTATAATATAATACAGGGAAGGCTGGAAAAAACTGTTTTTTCCAAATTGAGAGTCACTGAACCCGTGGAAAATTATAATACTTTGCAGGGTAAAAATGGAGTTAAGGATATAAAAGGTGCTGTACATTATACCTTTCCATTAGTGTCATAAAATTTTAACAGCAGCATACTCAGACATCTACAATTTCTGTTGACTTCTGATATATGACCTTTCTCTCAAATTAAATCAAGACTATTTAACCTTGTAGGGATAACACAATCTTGATTTGTTTGAGAAACACATTTGGAAAAGTTATGATGAACTTTAATGGGAAACACGCTTGCATAGAGGCCTGGGCATAAGATTGAAATTGATCATCACATTGTTTGTTTAGAAAAGAAAACATAACATTCAAAGAATATGTTGGAAGCATTGGATTTCTTCACATGAGAACACACACATTGAAAATGATGAGGTTTGGATAAAGCATAAATTACAGTCTGTTTTTTTTCTCTTTCCTTAATAGTGTTGAGTTTTAAAAATATACATATATTATTGACTATATTGAAAAGTTAATTAAAACTTTTTTGCATGATTAATACATTTTAGAGGAAAGAGACAAAATAATAAAAAACTTTAAAAATAGTACTAATGACCAGCTTTTGGAAATAATTCTACAAGCGGAAAACTGAGATGACAGACAATTTACAGCAAGCCAAATATGTAGATTTTAGGTGGCAACCTATCATTGCTCAGCATGGGTGGTCTCCCATTTCCAGAAAAGGAGACTGCTAAGCTTCTTCGTGATAGTTAGGCTGTACTCTCTACCTACGGGGCCTTTGTGTGGGGGGCGGAGGGAAAATGGGTAACTTTTTAAACAGTCATAGAAAGAGGTCAAAAAACACAGAGGAAACTTGCAGTTGTATAAGCCAATCCACTTACCCTCAAGAAAAACCACACCTAAATTCTTCCAGACAGATTAGCATCTTTCCCATTTCTAAAGACCTCCTGAGAAGGAGTTTCCATTTCCTCGCTGTAGTGTTTAACAGCCTTCACTCTCGTGAGCACTGTCTTCTTGCCTATGTTAAAGCCTTTCTACACTGCCAAGAGCGTTATTTGTTCTTACAATGGCACCACAGGGAAAGAGGGTAGCTGCGTTAGCTTGCTTCAGGTATTCTTCCTCTGCCTCACAGTTCTCAGTTTCTTTAAAGCAAGGGTTACCCAAGGGGTTGGGTAGATAATATTTAACTTGTAGGATTAAGACTGTAGGAAGTAAGCACGATTAATGTGTGTTTTTAGAAAGCCTGTACAGAGTGACGGTGAAGGAGAGAAGCAAGACTATTCTAAAAACACATTTAATGTGTACTTATTAAATGTAGCAAGTAGGCGAAGGCAAGTACAACTTTGTGGTGAATTCTTCTTGAGGGACTTTGACCATTAGTTGTGCTATGTCAACTTTATTGCATTAAGAAACTAATGCTACTGGATTGGTGAAGGGCACTTTTGGGTGTGTCTGGGTGGGTCACTGAGGCCTTGACTACTATACATGGTCCCTGGCCCCTTTTCCTCTAGCATTGTTCTTTTGCTCTGTTTCCTGACTGCTATGAGTTGAGCAGCATTCCTCCACCATATTGTTTCTGTCTTAGAGCCAGCTAACCATGGACGGAACCCTCTGAAACAATGAGCCCATGTTACGGCTTGCATTTAGATGTCCCCCAAAAGTCTCATGTAGTCACTGGGGGAACTTCTCAGAGGTGGCTGGGTCTAGAGTATGTGGTGCTGGAATCAAGGGTGTGTGCTTACTAAATCAGTCCACTGATTGGTTTGATCCCTGCCCTAAGCCTGGTAACCTAGATAGAATACAAAAGGGGCAGAAAGAAGCTGCTCAAGTAACTTGGACTTGCTTCTTTGCTCCTTTGTTGCTTTGCTACCTTTGTCTGTCATGTACTGTTTGTGATGCCCCTCTGTCATGCCAGCCTTCCCTGGAGCCAGCAGATTATGGACTGAAGCCTCTACAAACTGTGAGCCAAAATAAACCTTTCCCCTTTTAGCTTTGGATAGTGAGTATTTTGTCTCAGGAATGGGAGAAGTAATTAACACTGCCAAAATAAACCCCTCCTACTTTAAGTTGTGAATATCAGGTATTTTGTACCAGTGATGAAAAAGTGACAAGTACCACCACCTGCTTCTGTCTTTGCATATTTCTGAAAAAAGTAGGGCATGGTACTAAGGTTGCATTTGCTTGTGTATACAAGTGAAAAGCCTAGGCTTAACTTCTGATTCATGTCTATATTCTCCACTGCTGTAAGCATTCATTGTAATATGATTTATTTTGGAAACTATTACCCTGCAAGAGCTATTAATATATGTGTTAGTTATGAGGTAGCTTCCAGGGATCCATGCCTGTTAGTATTCATACCCTTGTGGGCCATCCCCATGCTATATATAATACTGTGGAAGGATGGTGTGTGACTGCTGATACTAGGTTGTAGAAGTCATTGCAACTCTTGCCTTTGTCTCTTGAGTTACTTGCTGTGGAGGAAGCTATCCCCTACGCCGTGAGGACATGCAAACAGCTCTCTGCACAGGACCTGAGGCCTTCAGCCAACAGATGGCACCTTGCTAGACTAATGAGTGAGCCACCTTGGAAATGGGTTCTCCAGATCCAAGAAGGTCTTCACATGCGTGCAGGAGCAGCTCACATCTGACTTCAACTACACCAGAGGCTCTAAATGAAGACGGCTCCTAGAGGCCTTCCTGAGATACTGGCCACCAGGAACTTGATCCGATCAGTGTTTAAGGCACTATACTTTGAGGGTAGCAATAGCTGACAAAAGGAATTGGTAGGCTTGGAGTTGTGCATCTCTAACCGCAGTAGTGTCTCTTCAGACGAGTGATTGATCAGTCCTGGTGGCCCATTCCTTTCCATTTTCTCAGTAAAAGGAAGGGGATTCTTCAGGAACGTGGAGCCAGGAATAATGTGGAAGCCAGGTGGTTTTAGATGGATACATGTCACATTATCACTGGATAGCTCCTCTTGGAAAATGGAGTTTCTTGAATTTAGAGAAAAAGACAAAGGATGCTGGGAGTGGTGGTGCACACCCAGAATCCCAGCATTCTGGGGGCTGAGGCAGGAGGATTGCCGTGAATTCAAGGCCAACCTGAGCTACATAGTGAGTTCAAGGCCAGCCTGGACTACATAGCAAGACCCTGTCTCAAAAACAAGCAAACAAAAAAGATGTGTCTTCCACTGTAGTCTCCTGAAGGGCCACTTGGGGTTTTTGCTTTCAGGTCAACAGGTCAGTAATCTGTTCTATTCTTTTACTTAAGTACAATTACTGTTGTGCAGAATAATATGAAAAGATTAGTTATGGGCTGATTAAGTAGAGACACAGTAGTAGCATTAGAAATACTGACCAGAAAAGAAAAAAGGAAGGTGCATAAGAATGAGTATGTGTGCCATTCTGACTGAAGAAGTCAGATTTATTTTTTATGCAAAACACTAAAAAGCCAGAAAAGAGGCTGTGAAGAGTCTGAGGTATTCAAACTTTCCTCTGGCCAGGCAGAGAAAGTGGCTGTCAAGATCACCAGGGAGCCAGAGAAACAGGACAAATCCTTGAAGAACTGGGCTGTACTCTCCCTCGCATCTGCTGGAAACAGCAGTCATGCTCCTTGGTGTGAAGAAGGAGAAGGAGGAGATGCTAAGAGAACTTGCTCAGGAACCCAGAGTGCTGGCTGTAGCGCTCTCCCATTCCCCGGGCTGTGTGTTCTCTCTGCAGCTCACTCAGGCAGACACGTGAAAAACCCAAAGGAAGCAAACTCCAAAGCTGCAAGTGAGTCAGTAGGAGACTCGAATGGAAGACTCATCTATCTTTTTCCTTAAATTTAAGAAGAAGCTTTTTCCAAAGAGAAGTTGGCTAGTAGTGATTTTGAAGAGATAGCAATCAGTGCAAGTCTTTCCAAGGGGAAGAAATCTTTATACAAGGAAAAATAGTGATCCCAAAGCAGCAGGCTGCAGGAGTGACTCTCTAGGAAAAAAAGGAAATTCTCCTCCAAGAAGGAGCCAGGCAGCAGTGATCCTTAAGAAGCTGCTGCTTACAGAGAAAAAGTTCCCACAACCATCCCAGGAAGATTATAATGGACATTCCCCGGGGGAAGGACATACCCTGTGGTAATATTTCCCAACTTATGTCCTATACTCCAGTAAAAATAAATTCATACACACAAAACAAAATGAAATAAAAAATACTTAGGTAGCAGATGCTTGCGGAGCCCTGCTTAATGTCCTTTCCGCTCATTTTTTTAGCTGCAGCTGGGTGGCCAGCTCTAGGCAAGCTCACGCTTACATTGACAGTGTCCTATTTCAAGGGTGCACCACAAGTAGAGCTATCAAACTTAGAAAAAAGAATCTCCTCCCTCTCCCTCACTCTCTCCTTCTCCCTTTCCCTCTCTGCCTCCCTCCCTCTCTCTCCCTCTCTCCCTCCTCCTACCCCTTCTGCTTTGGAGATTTCTCTGAAGCCATGAGTCTCCGCAATCTGGGCAGAGGAGGTCAAAAGAGTTAAACCTTCC